GGCTGATTTTTTGATTTATTGTAGAGATGAGGTCTCGCTGCCCAGGCGGGTCTCGAACCCGCGGGCTCAGGCAATCCACTCACCTCAGCCTCCCAAAGGCGCGGGATTACAGGCTGAGCCACCGAGCCCGGCTAATTTTTTTTGTTTTGTTTTGTTTTTGAGTTGGAGTCTCACTCTGTCATCCAGGCTGGAGCGCAGTGGCACACAGCCTCAACCTGCTGGGCTTAGGTGATCCTTCTGCCTCAGCCTTCCAAATACCTGGAACTACAGACGCACACCACCACGCCCAGCCAATTTTTGTGATTTATTGTAGAAACGAGGTCTCACCAAGTTGCCCAGGCTGGTCTCAAACCCCCGGGCCCAGGCAGTCCTCTCGCCTCAGCCTCCCAAAGTGCTGGGATTATAGGCTGAGCCACCATGCCCAGCCTAATTTTTTATTGTAGTGACAATGTCTTGCCATGTTGCCCAGGCTGGTCTCGACCCGTGGGCTCAGGCAATCATCTTGCCTCCGCCTCCCAAAGTGCTTGGGATTACAGGTGTAAGCCACAGCGCCCGGCTTACCTCACATTTCTGTGTGAGATACAGAGAAGAGAGGGAGGAAACAGAAGATGAAGGTTTGGTAAGAGGTGGCAGGGGAAACTGAGGCAGCACCTGCATGCTCCCTGACCCTAGGGCCTAAAGGGTAAGGAGCATGAAGGAGCACAGACACAGAGTCCCTGCTCCCAGCGGCTGGTGGAGCCTGGGAGGGAGGGGACCACGGCTAAGCTAGAGGAGGTGATCCAGGAAGCGGTGGTGGCGGTGGGCAGACAGCCAGTGCGGGCAGTGAGGCGCCCAGCCAGGGCCTGCCCCAGGGACAGAGACTCCCTGGCTCCGGGAGAGAGCGCTGCCCCCACACCGAGAAAGGGGCACTGACCCAGCCCAGTGCATAGGGCAATGGTGCCAGGCAGCTTGCCAGCCGTGGCAGGAGGGGTGGTGGGTGCCCACGGCAGGGTGTTCGGTCCCTGCCGCCCAAGAGAGGTGGGACACGTTTCCCAGGCCAGCAGCTGACCAGCCAGCCGTCCATGGCCCATTCTGCTGCTTCCCCTCCCGCCCCAGGCTGGGCCTGGGCTCCCTCCTCCCCTCAGCCCTGGCCTGGCGCCCAGCTGGGCCCTGGGGGCCAGAGTTACTGTAAGCGGCCTGGCAGGCCCCAGCCGTGGACTCTGCCAGCTGGCCATAGCTGCCGCCACCTCCCACTACCTGGCTCAGCTAGCCGGTGAAGGGTCCTGAGACCCCTGCCCCGCCAACGGGTGACCCCCATGGCAGAGGGTGGAGGCAGAGAGAAAACACAGGCCCTGCCAAGACTACGCATGCATCCAAGGCCAGAGTCCAGGCCAAGCACCCCCTCCTGGGACACTCACCCTATCCACCAGGCTAGCCTGCGAGTCCCTCCCTCTCACCCTCCCAGAAGAGGAAGCACATCCTAGCATGGCCAGGGGTGGAGCTGGCAGACACAGAGAAGGGTTCCAGGGACCTGCCTCTGTCTACTCCTTCAGGCTCTTTCCCTCAGCAGCATGGAGTCGGGCACAGATGAGGTGCCACTCTCGTTCTAGTAAAGCTGCCATTTCCACCAAAATGTTTACCCCCACCTTTGGCCTCTGTCCAGTCCCTGGAGCCATTTATAAGGCCTCAACAGCAGAGCACAGGAAAGAGGTGCATGGGCCACTGCAGGCCAGAATCACATGGTTTCATCGCTCCCTCTGCCACCCTCAACATCAAACACAACCACCATGATTAGCCTACAAGCTGCGGGGCTTGCTTTCGTCCTCAAGTCCCCCAAATGATGGTCCCCTTGACGGAGACCTCGCCACTCACTGCACCTGCAGCAGAACAGATGTGTGCGAGGCCCAGGTCTGGCACCCTCCGCGGGCCCCTCCCGCCCAGTCTCCCCCAATCCCCACACTTACTGGCTGGGGATGGTGTGCTATATCCGCTAACTGGAAGCTGGTGCTGGAGAGTGGTCAGAGCGCCTGGCGGGGAGAGTCCACCCAGCATGGGGGGGAAGAAGAAGGCGTAGGGGGGCACGGGGTACCCATTGAGGTGCCCGCCCCCAGGTGTTGGGCAGGAGCTGCTGTTGCTGGCCATGCCAAGCGGCCACAGTCACAAGGGCAGGCAGACAGTCTGGTGGGGGGGCTCTGGCGGGCTTCAGGCCACCCCTCCTCGGAGCATGGGGCCTGGGCCCAGATGGGGTTTGGGTGGTCGGCCCACCCCCCCTTCTGTGCTGGAGCTGCTGTCCAAGAAAGGCAGGCTAGTCTCAGCCTCCTGGAACCCCCACCCTACTGGGGGCCAGGTCGGTTGGGAGCTGTCTCAAGAGCCGGTCCTTCGGTCAAGCAGTTCTGTGAGCTGGCACTTTCCTGGGAAGGTCCAGAGCTGGCCTTTGGGGCACCAAAAAGGATGTCACTCCTAGACGGGCCCCGGCTAGGCGGCTGGGGGGGCCATGTCCTTTGATGCTGCAGAAAGAGGAAAGACAGGTGAGTGGGCACCGAGGAGCAAGCATGCAGGCATTCCCCATGGAGCTCCCCAACCTGGGCTGCCGGAGATTTTCCCGTGGCACCCAGCTGGGCAGACAGCTGGCACCATGCCTGGCTGGCAGAGACGACCTGGAAGCAGGGCCCAGACACCACTGGGGGTGGCAGAATAGCACAGCCAGGCCGAGGAGACAGGGACACACAGCACAGGGCCTTGGCGGGCCTCTCACCCACAATCCTGAGGGGGAAGGATCCACATGCCACCTCAAGGGATCACTGCAGCAGAAGCAGGCAGCTGGCCCTCCTTCCCCAGTGCGGGTTACCTGAGGTCAAGATGCAGAGAACGTGTGCTTGGGGGAAGAGGGAGGGGGAGGAAAAGCCGCTTCCCTAAAGCATTGGCACTTCTCAGAAAAATGACTCCTAAGCCGGGGGGCCCCTGTTACACCACTTCCCCCCAAATCCAAGCCCCAGCACCCCAGATGGGCTTGTCCCACAGGCCTTGGGAGGAGGCCCGTTTATGTACACACAGAGAAGGAAATGGGAACCAGGGACTCCTAGGCATCACCTCCAAAGCTTAACATGGATGGCTCAGGGGTGGGCAATGCGTAGGAGGGCAGGGACTGCCCAGGAAGCCTCCTGGCTTCAGGCAACGTGGGAGCAAGAGAGACTGATCTCAGAGTTCACCCACATACTTCTGTCTGCAGAAGCACAACACATGGAGTGGGGTGGGGTGGTGGGCAGAAGATGAAAGACCAAATGCCCCCTCACCAGTGTGTACACAGATCCACACCCTGTTTGAACAGCTGGGACCAGAGGATATGCATAGATAATACCAGGGGGGGAGAGAGACAGAGATGAACCCAGAGATTCCACAACACAGTGAGACAGGCAGGCGGCAGCGGGAGCAAAGAAAGAGCGCCAGAAACATCCACAAGATGTGTCCAATCCACTTTGGGTACAGGCTATACAGAAATACATATAAGCTCCAAGTATATGAAAATATGTATGTAAGACATGAGAAAAGACACTAAAAGAAAGATGGCCAACCAAACCAGTGAGATATTCCTTCACACCCTCTAGGATGGCTATAATCAAAAAGGCAGATAATAACAAGTATTGGTGAGGATGTGGAGAAACTGGAATCCTCATGCCCTGCTGGTGGGAATGTAAAATAGTACAGCTGCTTGGGAAGACAGTCTGGCTATTCCTCAAGAGGTTAAACACAGACCATAAGACCCAGCATTTCCACTCCTAGTACCTACCCAAGAGATATGACAACAGAAGTGCATAAAAAGACATGTACATGAATGTTCATAGCAGCATTATTTGTAATAGCCAAAAAGTGGAACCAACCCAAAAGTCAATTTGTAGCTGGGTGCGGTGGCTGACACCTGTAATCCTAGCACTTTGGGAGACAAGATAACTGCCTGAGTCCAGGGGTTCAAAACCAGCCTGGGCAACTGGGTGAGACTTCGTCTCTATAACAAATCAAAAAAAAAAATTAGCTGGGCATGGTGGCACTCACCTGTGGTTCCAGCTACTTGGAAGGCTGAGGTGGAAGGATCACCTGAGCCCAGCAGGTTGAGGCTGTGGTAGCTGTGAAAGTGCCACTGCACTCCAGTCTGGGCAACAGAGTGAGACTCCAACTCAAAAAAAAGTCAATTCACTGATAAATGGATAAATCAAATGTTGTATATCCATATAGATGGAATATTATTCTGTTCCCAAAAAGGGAATGAAGTACTATTACTATACTGTGGATATTCCTTGAAAACATTATGCAAGTTACAGAAGACCATAAATTGTATAATTCCACTGATATAAAATGTCCAGGACAGGCAACTCTGTAGAGACAGAAAGTAAAAAGACTTGTGGTTATCAGGGGCTGGGGCGTGGATCTGAGGGAACTGGGAAGTAACTGTTGATGGGCATGGGGGCTCTTTTTGAGGGGATGGAAATGTTCTAAAATTGATTGTGGTGGTAGTTGAACAACTCTGAATATGCTAAAAACACTGAATTGTATACTTTAATGGGAGAATTTTATGGTATGTGAATTATAATCCCAATTAAACTGTTGTTTAAAAAGAAGGAATAAGCCGGGCTCGGTGGCTCAGCCTGTAATCCCAGCACTTTGGGAGGCTGAGGTGAGTGGATTGCCTGAGCCTGCGGGTTCGAGACCCACCTGGGCAACTTGGTGAGACCTCATCTCTACAATAAGTCAAAAATTAGCTGGACGTGGTAGTGTGCGCCTGTAATTCCGGCTACTCGGAAGGCTGAGGCGGAAGGATCGCCGGAGCTCATCGGGTCGAGGCTGCGGTGGCTGGGAGCGGCCACTGCACTCCAGTCTGGGTGACAGGGTGAGACTCCAACTCAAATAAATAAATAAATAAATAATAAAAATAAAAAGAAGGAATAAAGAAAAGATATAGGGCCACAGAGACCAAAATAAGGACTGTCCTTTCTAAAAGACCCCTGACCCTCCTCCCCCCAATTCCTGTTCCAAATTCAGAACAGGAGTCCAGGGTACATGCACATGGCCAGCATTTGGCTGAGCACCAGGTCTGGGATGGGGGAGTCCCTGCCAAGGGCACTGTGGAAGAGGCCAGGACTTCTGGGCCCAGCTGAGCCAGCCAGCCTGTGTCAAACTGGGGGTGGGAGAGGACAGTGCTGGACACAGGGGGGACAGCTGTCCCAGGAGTAAAATCTGGACCTTGTTAATGACCACAATTCTTTTTTTTGAGTTGGAGTCTCACTCTGTCACCCAGGCTGAAGGGCAGTGACACTCTCACAGCCACCGCAGGCTTGACCCGCTGGGCTCTGGTGATTCTTTCACCTCAGCCTTCCAAGTAGCTGGAACTACAGGCATGTGCACCATGCCTGGCTTATTTTTTGATTTATCGTAGAGATGAGGCCTTACCAAGTTGGCCAGGCTGGTCTTGAACCCCTGGGCTCAGGCAATCCTCTCGCCTTGGCCCCCCAAAGTGCTGGGATTACTGGCGACCCGAGGCATTTGACCCAGCTTTAGGGTGGTTTAGTCAGTCCAGCCTGGACCCTCTGGAGCCCACCCTTTCCCCCAAAGAAGAAATAATTACAGTCACCTTAGAATTCATGCCTCGGTCAGGCTCGGTGGCTCAGCCTATAATTCTTTGCGAGGCTGAGGCAAGTGGATTGCCTGAGCCTGCAGGTTCGAGACCAGCCCGGGCAATTTGATGAGACCCCTGTTTCTATAATAATTAAAAAATTAGCCGGGCGTGGTAGTGCGCGCCTGTAGTTCCAGCTACTTGAAAGGCTGGGACAGAAGAATTGCTGGAGCCCAGCAGGTCGACACTGGGGTGACACTGCCCTCCAGCCTGGGCGACAGAGTAAGACTCCAACTCAAAAAAAGTAAAAAAGGAATCTGTGCTTCAACTCTGCCCCTGAGGATTTTGAAACTGGACCAAACTTCAGCCCCCATCCCCAATTCCCCCACCACAGATACATGCTCCCTGGGGAAAGGCTGAAAGGTCCCTCCCACTCCCTATCAGAACCTCCAATATGCCTAACCCTGCTCAGCTTGCAAACCTCACTGCAAAGTTACTCAGCTCCCCGGAGAGGGCCTTGAGCTGCAGGAGGGGGTAAAGGTCACAGAAATGGGCCAAGGGCCAGTCCAACCAGGGAACTGGGATGGGCAAGGGCAGGGATGACGAGGGTGGAGCCCAAAGAGCTCAGGCTCTGCCTCAGAAGGTCTTTTGTGAGCTACGACCCTCAGAGAGACCCCTGGGCCCCATCCCCTCCACCCAGGGGTGGAGACCGCCTCATCACGAATCGAAACCAGCACCAAAGAGAGGGAAAACAAACCACCCACATCCAACCTCCACCCTGTGCCAGCCACCTCCACTGCCCACGGGCACCCTCCCCCGAAAGCGAGAAAACCACAGGCCCGCACCTCCAGTACACTGAGCCTAGCCCGAGCACAGCAGACAAAGTGGCAGGGCCCAGAGCACCTGCATCCAGCCACATGCCCCTGCCGGCTAGAGCCTCCCTCATCCCCAGAAGGTGCCAGGAGCCCACCCCCAGCACCAGGCGTCTCGGGCTGCCCACTTGTCACACCCCAGAGTCACACACCTAGAGAAAGAGGTAAGAGCTGCCCGGGCCATGAAGACAGAAAGAACCAGAGGTCTGAAGGGTCAAATCTCAGCTCTGCCACTCCGGATGACCTTACACAAGTCACTTAACCTCTCCAAGCATCTGTTTACTTGCCTGTGAACTGCCTACCTCAACCGGGTGTGCGACTTCAGAGAGGAAGTCCTGGAAAGCACCTAGCGCAGAGCCTGGCACCAGAGGCCCTAGGCAGCTGGGACCCTCCCATTCCCCCAGGCCTCTTGCCACCACCTTGGTGCCTCCTCAGCAGTCTGCCTGCCTTCCCTGGCCTTGGCCCAACTAGGGCTAGCATGTGCTGCCGGGGCGGGGAGAGAGAAGTGCCCATTTTCCAGGGTCTGCTTCCCCCAGACCGAGGAGAGAGATGTGGAGAGAGGGATATTTGGGGTGTGGGCAGAGGCCTGACCACAACCCTTTCCCAAACGCCCTTCTTCCATTTCACAAACCAAAAAAGGGAAACCTTTGGATTTGGGGAGGGGAGGAAGAAAGAGAAATAAACCGTTTCCTCCTCTATCCACAGGGGAGAGGAGCCAGGGGTCCCCAAACCCAGCTGGGCCCAGCCTCCCTTCTCATTCATTCTGTCCTCTCTGCTCCCCTGAGAAACAATGGTTCCCAAGGAATCAAAGTCAGGTAGTCCTGGAGGGGCCGAGGGAAGGGAACAAGGATTGGGGAGCTTAAAAAAAGGGGAGACAGGGGGTTTCCTAAGCACTCGAGACAGTTAATGAATCATATGCAAATGACACCCAGAGCTCAAGTTCAGTTTGGGTGGGAGGACTCCCAGCCTTGAAAGAAACAAAGAGCTGCCCCTCTGAACCCCCTGCCCTGCCAGGAGCTGGCCAAGCAGG